GTTTATATACTTAGTTAAAGTTATTCTCTACTGGGCAAAATTGTTCATTCCTGTTTTACTAACATTTCAGGAAATGAAGAGCCCCAAAACTGTCAATGAAGATGAAGAAGGAACTAACTTTCTTTTCTTTTGTTTAAAATATAACCTTTTGTGAACTTGAGGTTGTAATGAAACTATGGAACTCTTTTTCTTTTTTCTTTTTATTTTTTATTTTCTTTTAAGTTTTGTAATTTTGTTTGAAATGTCTCAATGTAATTAGCAAACTAGCATGGTAATGTAATTGTTTTGAAAGCTCCTCTAGCTCACTGAACAGAGATATGTAGTTTGTAATTGTTTTGTAAACAAAAATCTATAGTTCAATGAGAAAGAAATGTTTGAATGGAATTGTGTTGTGTGTATGTGAATACTGTACTTTTAACTATTCTATGTAAATGATATTGGTGGGGTGTTACATCATATATGAGCTATTTTGAATTTTTGGAATCATTTTTCATGGATTAACATCTCAAGGTTCTTTAATGGGCATAAACAAATCAGCTTGGTAGCAACCACCAAAGTAATAAAACAAGGTTTAGCTGTATAACTGATCTACAAACAAGGTAAGTAAGTTCATTACTGATTGAATAAAATGGTACAAGATAGCTAAAAACATTAGCCAAACCAATCTTAGATTCAATAAAAGTCCAATAAAAATAAATAACTACATTATGAAAAATAATTAAATCCGCAATAGAACAGAAATAATTAATTTTAACTTTGGCAAAAACATTTACTACTTGAGCTTTTATTTGAGAATGTACAAAAATAGTCAATTGAACTAAGTTAGACATTGGGATGTGGCCAATGGTCTAGTAGCCACACCTTAGGGTGTAGTGAGTGGGAGGTCAAGGGTTCGAGTTGATGGAGCAATGGCGGCCCTTCAGTTGTAATATAACTATACTAACATACTAACGCTATTTCAGGTTAAAAAAAAAAAAACACTAAGTTCATTAAACATAATCACACATGGAGATTAATAAATTATTAAAAATAAGAATAATTTATTGAAAAAAAAAGATGTTTGCATTTATTTTAGGGAAAAAAAATATGACAATAAAAATGTGTAAAATAAAATAAAATTATAAGCTCTCATTTACAAGAATTATCCAAAAATCAAAAAATGTGTAAAATTAATATTAATATTTAAAATTATAAAAAAAAAATTAATAAATCTTTACACAAATTAGATTCATTCTTATGCTTAAAAAAAATGTAAAGAAAAATTTGGAAATTATTAGAAAATTGGAGAATTTTGTTATAATGATAATTGTTGAAACCGGAGAGAGAGCGATTGGAGGGATAACCAAACCCCAGAGCAAAAGTATAAAGCTTGCGAAACCCTACTCTCTTGCCATCTCTCTCTCATAAGTCACGAATAGAGATATAATAAAGAGCAAAGGTTTGAATTGAAACTCATCTCTATGTAGGGCTGCAAACAAACCGAGCCGAGTTGAGTTTTGCTGAGCTCAAGCTCGGCTCGTTTACTTATCGAGCTCATTTATTGAGCTCGAGCTCGGCTCGATAAAGAACTGAGCTTGAGCTCATCTCGGCTCGTTAATATTAATGAAACTCGAGCTCGACTCGACACGGCTCGATAATTTTTTTAAATATTATTTAGATAAAAAATATTATTTATATTATTTAATATATTAATACTACATTTATACATATTCATATATTATTTAATATATTTATTATATAATTTAAATAAAGATAAACGAGCCGAGTTTGACGAGTCGAGCTTATACGAACTTGAGCTCGGCTCGTTTACTAAATGAACTGAGCCCCTAACGAGCCGAGCCAAGCTTGTTCATGAACAACTCGCTTCATTTGCAGCCCTATCTCTATGATTCTGCCATATATTAATCGATGATTTTGTATATACATATACACTTCTATATTTATGCATAGTGTGTAAGCATTTCATTTGTGGTCTCTGTATGTTTAATTTTTGTGTGCATCTTTGTTGGTTCTGCAAGAATTTTATCGTATTGATTGTGTTAGAAGAGCAATTGATCTTTGAATTCACTATCATTTATGGTTGAAATTGAATGATGTTGTTCATAGTTGCTGAAGAGTTGAAGTTCACAAATAGTTGTTTGGTGGTTGAAATTTGTTGGGTATGCTATGAAGGACCAAAATTCTGTAATTAGATCCCATTTCAAAGCAACCTACAAAATGGATTGTGCACTGAATTTCAATAACCATTCCAAAATGTAAACGCAATGAGGGGTCAAATGGTTTATTCTGGCTCCTAATGCTTTATTTGGTTAAGTGGAATGAGTTGGAATGGAATAGAATGACCATTCCCTTCAAATCACGAATGATGATCCCATTTGTAATGCATTTTGTCATTATTTTTTCAGTCAACCAAACTTGGGAATGAATATTTTGATGGAATGACCATTCCATTCCGTTTCATTCTAGTGAACCGAACACTACCTAAATGTCATAATTGGAGTTTCATTCTTTTATCGCTTCATGTTTATTGTTAAAGTTTGTGGGATGACATATGTAATGAAAAAAGAGTAGGGAATTGAAGTCTTGCATTATGGCATCAAACTTGCATCTATTGCAATCAAAGGTAGCTGAGGCTTCAAAGCTTGTTTCCAAGCAAAGATGTTCCTACTACAAGCAGCTGATGGAGTAGAACAAACAATACATCCAGGAGCCACCTATGGTGGAGAAATGCCAGCATTTGGCAAATCAAGTGTTTTACACTCGACTTGCCAGGTTGTACATTTACTCCTACTTAAACTTTAATTTTCTCCATATATCTACAATATATGTTTTGAATTAATCATGTTTATTGATGAGATTCCTTTAAGATGTTTTGTTGTGTCATTTTTGGGGCTGGATTTAGAAAGGAGGAATCTTAGTTCGACAGTTGCAATATCTCATTAACCCATATAGGTTCATGGAAGCAAATTATGTTGCATTGCCTAGCTAAATCTCATCTTGTTTATCCTAAAATTTTATATTGGCTAAGTTGCCAAAGCTTCAGCTACTTTGGTTGAGTCTTGTTTTATAGGCCTGAAGATTGTGTTGGATCTGAACCAAGGCTAACATTTTAATAGAACAACTTGTTTTGCTCATGGGTTTTGGCAATTTCAATTGTTAAGGGAGTTGTTTTATCAATGATGCTCTACATTCAAGCAAATATTACTCAACTGTAACAATTTAGTTAGGGTTGGGTTATGCATTGTGGAACAGAAAAAACTGGGACCAAACCTAAGAAACATATTGGGCTGCATAGTCTGTAGATCAGGCTTAGGTTGACTTGTCCTTTGAGTCCAACTAACTCCCTTGCTTGCCCAACAACTTCCATATTATATGTTAATTCTGAATACAAGTGACTGTAAGTTCAAGTCGTGTTATCAAGGCGTGCCTAGGCACATCGAGGCACCCTTGAGGCAAGGCGACTTTACTCGTCATGAGAGGTATAGGACCAAAGTTGAAAATTTCCTTGTAGTTTGGAGTGTTCAATGTATTAATGGTTTAATGGTTTTCAATGTATCCTCTGTGTTCTACTTCAATATTCAAAAATATGTAAATATTCTTAATTTCTTCTCTCTTGTAGCTACTTTTCCTCTTATATGACTCCAACTTTTAGGTTCAACAAGGCATGACTACATTTAATGATGAACCCTGCCTTCTTATGCACTATTTTGTTAAACTGTACCTTTTTTCAACAAATTCATAAATTATTGTTTCGTATGAAATGATCTTTCTACTCTAGTGAACAAAATGATCATCTTCCTAAGACTATTGGGAAAGAAAATTAGTATTGTAGTTTACTATTTTATCTTATCATGCCAAGTGCAATGAGTAAAACAGCCTGTGCTTTTGATTGCTTCTTGAGGACAGCATTCCCGGTCGTTATGAATCATTCTGGAGGGAACTTGATTATGTCAAACAACAGTTGAATAACAGGCATGAGATGAAGATCGAGGATAATGGTATCGCTGCTGTTTTTAGGTTAGATTGCTTTGCCTGGTTTTGTACTGGTGAGATTATAGGAAGAGGGATTAAAATTACTGGCTACCATGTCTAACTGATTCAAGAAAATGTGGATTAGGTATTCTAATAGTTGAGCAGCTGGAAATTTCTTTCTTCCTATCAGTTTTTTAGTCAATGACCACACAGTACATTCTACATTTTATTTGTTTCTGCAGAAAATTTGTAGAACTTACAGGAAGGAGCAAAGTTTATTTGCAGCAATAATCTCAAGTTTTGGCCTCCCAACATTTCTCTTGTTTCCTGCTAAGCTCATTGCTATTTTCGTATCGCTCGCTCTCTCTCTCTCTCTCTATATATATATGTTATTTATTAATTCATATTTGATTTGATCCATTGTATTACTTTTACGCCATGCGGTGCGGTTTGTGTTATTAATTCTCTATTCAGTGATATTATTTGGAGGTCTGTTCAGATAGCAGGGCTGTATGTTAAGTTGTACTTTCAGAAAATTCTATTTATTCCTAAAGGCTCGCACCCTTTCTTATTGTACTTCACAGTCACTCTCATTCACAGGAGCTATGGGAAATCACCAATAAAGCTCCCGAAAACTTTGTACAAATGACATTAAAATGCTTAATAACAAATCACTTAACATGGGTATTAATGGTTACTTCATCGAATTTGTTTCATTACATTATATGGACTTGCAATTCAACTTCTCGAAGATTTGCATACTTTCAAAATACAAAGGCCAAATGAGCATGAAGTGCAACTTTTACTGATCAGAGTATTCTCTACTTACAAAAATAACATCTCAAAATCTCAAATATCTCATTAAGATTTTCTTTTCCCTGGAAAAGAAAATGAAACCAAGATAAACAAAAGAACAAAAAATGGAAATGGAAAAATCCCAAGAGAAGCCTTGGAGGAAGTTCCGGCGACTCCGCTACCATGCCTTGACTTTCAACTATTATTCTCTGTAACTATAGCTTTGTATGTTAGCAATGCTTTCAATATCTTAATAACCTTTAAAGGACATGATTCCTAAATGCCATGATCATTTTTGGTGATAAAAGCAAAACAAATGCCAAGATTGAACCAAAAAACATTTTGATAGCATAACCAACTGGATCATAGTCACTTTCTTCAGAATTAGTACTTGAGGTTGTCATGGCTGTGGCTGAAGGTAGGACTTCAATAACTACATCGGCCATATCTGTAATGAAGGAAGAGGTGCAACCTAGGGCACAAACACGGCCCCAATTTTCAATGCCAGATTCAAGAGCCAAGTGCTTGCACTCCATATCAATCTCTTCAAGAGTCTTTATGTGCTCACCCACAAAGCTGCGATTTCAGGAGCACAAAAACTACGAGTTTAATGTTTTTCCCTATTATCCCCTTTTATTAGGTAAAATCATATTAGAGTAACAAAAAAATCAACAAAAAAATTCCTGTCCTGTTTCAAGAATGACAAAAATAAATCAGAAAAATGAGTCAACACCAATCCCCAGGCGACCACCTTCATTCACTTACCAGGCCAAGTCATTTTTCAGTTATTTAATGAATAGGGTAAAACTTTAGTTGTTACCATCATCATTGTGGGAGCAGTAATATTAGTAAGAGATATCAGGTTAAGGTCCTTGCAGTGTATATTCCCTAATAGCCACGACATCAAATCCATAGATGGTATTGGGCAAACAAATTCAGGTTGCATGTTGTAAAGTCCTCGAAACTTTCAAAAAATATACCTAATCACAGGTAACCAGACATAAAGCGAGGCATTCAACCTATGCATCTGATCCATTGCACTATTCTAAAAGTAACAAGTAACTTGTACCAATGTAAAGCATCTAAAAGGTAAAGCCTATAAACTTCATCTAAGATGGTTAAACGAGAAGGATGGCCCACGATTAGGTTAAGGACCAGACAAGAAAGAATAACACAAGGAAACTATGGAGCTCAACAAATTTAAAACAACAGAATTAGAGCTCTAAGTGGTGCATTCTTCAAAATGCATTTGTAAAAGTCAAGCCCAAATCATGGTAAAGGTGATATTGTATTTTCAAGAAATATGTCAATAGTGAGAGAAAAACCCATGAATGCAACTTAATCGTTTACGCCATACCTTACAGGAACAGCCAAAAGACTCTTCACACCTTTTTTGCCACGCTCAACAAGTACTTCATCAGTGTAGGGCTTCAACCATTGTACAGGCCCAACGTGACTCTATCATACATGGAGGAAAAAACAAATAAAAAATGTGAAAAACCAAACATGTCAAGTACCCACAGGGGATTGTTTTGTGGAAATTATGATTATTGATACAGGGAGTTATTAACCATGCAAAGCTTGGAAACAACCAGAAACTAATAGCTTATATCCAAGAACCAACCTGGTAAGCAAGAGTATGATCATTGTTGATACGTCTTGATTTCAACCCTTGCATTATCAAGTGAATGCACTCCTCCATCTGATCTCTGTATGGGTCTCCCGCATCCTCAACATAACTGACTGGAACCCCATGAGCACTGATGAATATCATGACCTGGAATACCATAAGAAAACTAAGCCATGCATACTAGCAGCAGCAACAATTCAACCAACAACAAAGCATCAAGAAATGATGTCAAATGAGTCAAGGCAATAATGAAACCCACCTCCTTAGGCGTAGAGAAACTCTCTAACTCCTTTTCAATCAAGTCAGCCATAGACTTGATATAACCTTCTCGTTGACACCAGGACTGTATAATTGAAATAGGCATTCTTGACAAATATGCATCTTCCCTGACATATAACTCAGAATTAGATATACTATGTGCCGGACAAAAAATAACACTTGCATGCTAGCAAAAAATAGAAGTTCAGACAATGAAACAAAATTTTACCTAAAGATGGTTTGCAGAACACGAATGCTTGATCCAGTAGTGGAGATTGAAAATTGTGGATAAAGTGGCAGCACAATAAGCTTTGTAATCCTGTCCCTCTAAATCGGATGTGGATAAAGGAGAAATGTCACCATTTTGACTTGAATATATTGAATATGTGACAAGGAATGTTGTCAGGGAGTAGTTGTAAGGTTGATCACACTTGTGTGATCAAGTGTATGGTGTGACTTAATTTCTCACAAATATATTATCTGCTGTTTGTATTAGGCTTGGTTTGATTTCTCTTCATAATGGATACTTTTCTGGTACACGTAAAGCAAAAGCCATTGATCAACATTGGAGAATAGAGCCTCTTGGAGAAATAACAACATGATAAACATATCGATATAATATTTTGATGAGGAGATTTTCCAAAATCCATATTTGGGTTTCTAGCGCATAAAACAATTGAGTTTTTCTTAGTTCTTTATTCGTCTCTCTGTAACTGATTGTTTTGATCTTCAATTCCAATTAGAGCATATTTTTTAGTTTGGAATTCAAGCTAGGGGTTCCAAATTATCAGTAATTGGCAAAAATTTGCTAAATTGTTTAACAAAATTCTCAGTCTGCCAACACCCCAATTCCCATAATGCACAAGCTTGAAAATCTTACGTGCACCCCAAAAAATATCAACCTTGATTCAAAGGAATAAAGGAATAAAGGCCCAAGAATTTTAAGTCTCAGGAGAGAGTCTAGGCTCAAAACAATTAGCAAACAACGGATCTCGATACGTCACCAGTCCATTAGTGAATAGGGATGCAAGCTTTTGCCACATTACTATAGTATTGTTAGGTTTTTATTTTTGACAACCCCGTTTGACAAAACTCCTTTCAGTGGTATTTGGTTTTGCACTTTTATTTCAGTGAGGCTATGAGTTTATTAGATGCGAATCCAATCCGAATCGTGCCTTTGTCAATTTCCATGGATCAAAGCCGAGGTTGTAACAGGATCTAGTTTTCTAGATTTTCCAATTTTGGTCTCCCCGCTCGAGCAGGGAAAGTGACGCTCGAGCGGGGATTGCAAGCTCACAGCATCTCTGCTTCGCTTGAAAAAAGTACTGGATGGTGTGATTCGACGCTCGAGCGTGGAAACTTCCGCTCGAGCGTGAAGCCTATACGAATCACACAATTTTGAAGCCTCTGCTTGAGCGGGAATTCCCACGCTCGAGCGGACCGCGCGAACACAGATTCTATAAATTCGCGTGTTGGGTCAAATCTAGGATTACTTTGGATTTCTATAAGGAATTGGTTTTCTTCCAAAACTAGGATTACCTTGGATTTCTATAAGTAGTTGGTTTTCTCCCAAAACCTCACTTCTCCAGATCTTCTTTTTGGATATTAAGGTTTATATCTGGGAATATTTTGCTAGTTTTCTTTGATGTCTAATTGAGTATTCAACTCATGGGTTAAGAAGAATACATCAAAGGTTTGTTTGTTCATTCTATACAAAAGAGAGAGTTGTTCTTCGTTGGATTCTGAAGAATTCGAGCCTGAAGCTTTGGTGGATTCCGGAGTGGCTCATTATCAAGACAATTCCGAGGTGAAGACGGGGTTGGAAGAGACACATAGAGGTTGGTTCAATTCAGGCGTGGATTCGCTAGGTAATTGAGAGTATACCTGTGTAATTCCTTTATATTTTCTTAGTGGATTGTTTTGTGGCTGTTGCCTGTGTTCTTTTTTATCACAATTGGAGGTGTCCAATTATGGTTTTTCCATGTAAAATCGTTGTGTCGATTTGTTTTGATTGTTTGATTGGGATTGTTATATACTGCTTAAAATTGATATATAATCACTGTGCGGGGAGCAAATATTCAGGCAAGCCTGCACTCCTTTATTCCAAGCTCCTGCCTGTCCGATCGACTTGCGAGCACAACGGCGGTGAGCTACCCGGCGGTGTGTGGCCGGAAAATCCCTCCGATGATCAAGTTAGACACACACACAGGGATAGAGAGAGAGAGAGAGGACTGAGTTGTGTTTAGTGTTTTTCTCACCAAATTGTGTCATCTCCAAGCATGGGGGGCGCAGACATGATTATATACCTTCTGCGCCCCAAATCTACTCCCAGTGATCTCTTAACACGTGGTACTGTTATCCCATCTGTCAGCACAAATCTTGCTGAACATCACCTAACCCGAATGCCAGTCCACTCTTCTGGGAGCTCGGTAGTCGGGCTGCAATATCTCGATTGCCAACGGCCGTGTTGTGCAGTTGGCCAAAGTGCTCCGCTCGCCGCGCTCCGTTTCGACCGAGCTCGGTTGCATTCCGGCATTGCCGAGCTCGGGATAGCTCACGCTGGTTTACCATCGGCCTTCCTGCCGAGCTAACTCTTGGACCGTGGAACAACCACACGTCGCCTGGCGCCGGACATCCTGCTTGACCGGCTTCTAAATCGTGAAGCCAAACAGACCGGTCCAACCACGCCTTCCCTTATCCGAGCAAAACCTCTAAAGATGGGGCCGTGTTACCACGACCCAACCTTGTTCGGCCAAATCTGTCCGGCCCAAATCTGTCTGGCCATTATCACGGCCCAAACCAGATCATAAATCTCCCTTTCAATCACAAATCAACATCTAGGGAATTTCTAGATTTTTCAATTTTTTTTAAAACAAAACATGTCAGAAAACGAACAAGCACACATAAACCCAAAAATTAAAACAAATAAACAAATTAACACAAGTCAAGTTTTCTTACCCAAACCGCTTTAGTATAAACAAAGTTGTGAGCATTGCGGTTTTTGGGTGGTGTCTTGACGTTGTGGTTCCCTTTGCTTTCAATGGGAACCCGTCTCAACTTGGTTTCCAACATCCTATTTTTGGGTCTAGGCAAATACATTCTCCCATGCAACTTATAATAATAAGGGCGAATATGACCATGCATACCACAATGATGACAAATAAAAACAGGGTGTACCTTCTTTTCTTTTACCTGACCAACTCTAGGAAGTTTGGGAAGTACATCCTCATGTTGAATTTTTTGTTCTCCCTTTCCTTGAGTTCTTGTAAAGGATTCATTGATTGAGGGGGAGCCTCCGCCTTTACTCACCAAATACCCCTTGATTCCTAGTGGTTTGACTTTCCATAGTTGTGCTTAGATTCTCTTGTCAGAGGTCCAACTTGCAGATCACTACTAGGATTGAATCTAGTGTTTGTCGAACTCCAAGAGTCACACACACACTTTTCTCATGGGATCTATGCTTTTCACATAATGCATCACTTTCTTTCATGAGGACTCTTCTATAGACTGTGCACATTGTGTTTTCAAGTAATTGTGTTTCTTGGATAATCTCGTGTATTCTAAGGTACAAATCTGAGATTTCTTACTTGCTCCACCATATTTTTTTTTGTCTTTTTCTTCTTGTTCACTGTTTCTAGTGTTTGTGGTTGATTTTAGTGAGGGGGAGTTTGGTTCATCTTGACTTGGGTTGGTAAGGGAGTTTGGTTTTTCATTGCAAGAGTTGTTTAGCATGTACACTTTGATTTGTTTGGTAAGGGAGATTGGCTATAGTTGTTTTGGATGTTTCTATGCACTGTTTGCTAATTATTTCCTTCTTGCATGTTCCTGGTATTTACATCGTCATATCATTGCTTGTGTGGTTTATGATCTTGCTTTTGTTGTTTGAGAGTTATTTTTCCTGAGTCTTAGTTTTCATCTCTTCATGTTTTCCATCTCATGTTTCAAGATAATCGTGTCATATGCCTATTGCTTTTTCATATACTCTTGTGGGACTAATAGTTGTTTTGGAGATTATGGCACTAATAACTGTTTTGCAGATCATGACATTGAGAAAGAAGTTGGCTTTTGTTGGCTATAATGGGTTGGGGTGATTAGGATTTTATTTGTTAGGTGCGTTTTGTCACGGCATTTCCAAAGGGGGAGATTGTTAGGTTTTTATTCTTGGCAACCCCGTTTGACAAAACTCCTTTCAGTTGTATTTGTTTTCGCACTTTTATTTCAGTGAGGCTATGAGTTTATTAGATGCGAATCCAACCTGAATCGTGCCCTTGTCAATTTCCATGGATCAAAACCGAGGTTGTAACAGGATCTAGTTTTCCAGATTTTCCAATTTTGGTCTCCCCGCTCGAGCGGGGAAAGTGACGCTCGAGCGGGGATTGTAAGCTCACAGCATCTCTGCTTCGCCTGAAAAAGTACTGGATGGTGTGATTCTCCGCTCGAGCGTGGAAACTTCCGCTCGAGCGTGAAGCCTATATGAATCACACAATTTTGAAGCCTCCGCTCGAGCGGGAATTCCCATGCTCGAGCAGACCGCGCGAACACAGATTTATAAATTCGCCTGTTGGGTCAAATCTAGGATTACTTTGGATTTCTATAAGGAATTGATTTTCTTCCAAAATTAGGATTACCTTGGATTTCTATAAGTAGTTGGTTTTCTCCCAAAACCTCACTTACTTCTCCATATCTTCTTTTTGGATATTAAGGTTTATATCTGGGAATATTTGGCTAGTTTTCTTTGATGTTTAATTGAGTATTCAACTCATGGGTTAAGAAGAATACATCAAAGGTTTGTTTGTTCATTCTATACAAAAGAGAGATTTGTTCTTCGGTGGATTCTGAAGAATTCGAGCTTGAAGCTTTGGTGGATTTCGGAGTGGCTCATCGTCAAGACAATTCCGAGGTGAAGACGGGGTTGGAAGAAAAACATAGAGTTTGGTTCAATTCAGGCGTGGATTCGCTAGGTAATTGAGAGTATACCTGTGTAATTCCTTTATATCTTCTTAATAGATTGTTTTGTGGTTGTTACTCGTCGTTTTTTTTATCACAATTGGAGGTGTCCAATTGTGATTTTTTCCACGTAAAATCGTTGTGTCGATTTATCTTGATTGTTTGATTGGGATTGTTATATACTGCTTAAAATTGATACATAATCACAAATCAACATGTAGGGAATTTCTAGATTTTTCAAGTATGAATAACTTATTCAAATAGAAAGATAATAAGCATAGTATTTCCAGAAGTTGACCAGATGAGTTCTTGCACACTGTTTAGTAGGTGTAAAAAGGTGAGTAAAAAAATAAATTCTAAATTTTTTTCAATTATTCTGTTTGATTTACCTTAAGTGAACCTAACTTTTTAGACCAAAAATAAGAGAAAAAATAAAAACAAGTTTTTTGCTTATTTATAGACCTAGACACACAAAGCACAACGAGCATATGTGGCAGAGATCAATACAATGGAAACTGCTAACACAACAAAAATTCAGAGAAGGATACATAGTAGGTGAAAATGAATCACAAACAAGTTGATGACAACAGAGCATACAAAAATATTACATGACAATGACATTGTTTAAGACTTGCCTGCTGACTTAGAGGGAAACACAGTAAATGGGTGCCAATATTGCATTGCAACATAGACATTTACAGGCATTTCCTTTGCTTCCAATGCGTTTCTAAGTGCAATTACAAGAATCTTTAGCGCAACCCCTAAGCTTGTTATAAACTTATTATCACATCATGTCAAGAAAAGAAAATTTAAAATAAAAAAATGAAGGGCATGTAACGTTAGGCTCATATACTGGATCTGCAAATAAATTGAATAAAAATGGTTGAACATCATGAATTGTCTCTGGTCCTCCAAGATTAAGAAGCAGCACTCCAACCCTTTCTTCTGTACCATGTGAAGGAGATTCAATAGCACTTCCAGTTCCAAGATATGTCAATGCTCCCAGAGAACAACATGTGGAACAACATGTGGAACAACAGCTTCCTGGTGTTTTTCTATTCTTGGTCTAGCTTGTAAGTTAAGTGTTCTTATGGTGCATTTGTGGTAGACCTGTACTGTTTATCATCTGGAAAATGTCTCTTTAGAATTGGTGGATAGGCACTTGATAGGAAGTTGAGAAAGTGGTATGCCTTAAATATCGAAGATGGATAAATAAGCTCTTCATTTGAACATATGTTAAGTAGTTTGGCGCCTGCTTATATTTATGTTCCCATGTACTCACTTTTTTAGTTTAAAGGGTGTTTTTACACTATTTGGTTAACTGCTCCTTCACGTTGTGTTAGTTTTAACCAATAGATAATTGGACATTTTTGGTTTATGGGATATCGTTTAATATGATGATAAATACATGACAGCACGGTAATAGTAACTATTTTGGGTAGTAGTTCTCTTCACTTGCTGGATCAGTTACATATTACATTGAGCTTCTGTTCATTGTGCAATGCATCAACTAGATGTTCAGCTAGATATATCTTTGGTATAGCAGTTGACTGTGAACCTGTTGCCTCTTCTTGGCAATGGGGGGTTTGTTTGAAGAATTACTGAAAGTTTTTCTCATTAATATCAATATCTAATTACATGGATACATTTATACAAAAAATGTCTAACAAACTAATAATATCTGTAACTACCTAACTAACTAATGTAACTAACTAACTAATCTAACAAACTCTATCTTCTAGTTAGTTTTAGCTGATTAGCTATTACTGGCAGCAGCTCTTGTCGTGGCTCTGTTGTTAATCTGTTAACAAACTCTATCTTCTAGTTAGTTTTAGCTGATTAGCTATTACTGGCAGCAGCTCTTGTCGTGGCTCTGTTGTTAATCTGTTGTTAATGGCAGCAGCTCTTGTCGTGGCTCTGTTGTTAATCTGTTGTTAATGGCAGCAGCTCTTGTCGTGGCTCTGTTGTTAATCTGTTGTTAATGGCAGCAGCTCTTGTCGTGGCTCTGTTGTTAATCTGTTGTTAATGGCAGCAGCTCTTGTCGTGGCTCTGTTGTTAATCTGTTGTTAATGGCAGCAGCTCTTGTCGTGGCTCTGTTGTTAATCTGTTAACAAACTCTATCTTCTAGTTAGTTTTAGCTGATTAGCTATTACTGGCAGCAGCTCTTGTCGTGGCTCTGTTGTTAATCTGTTGTTAATGGCAGCAGCTCTTGTCGTGGCTCTGTTGTTAATCTGTTGTTAATGGCAGCAGCTCTTGTCGTGGCTCTGTTGTTAATCTGTTGTTAATGGCAGCAGCTCTTGTCGTGGCTCTGTTGTTAATCTGTTGTTAATGGCAGCAGCTCTTGTCGTGGCTCTGTTGTTAATCTGTTGTTAATGGCAGCAGCTCTTGTCGTGGCTCTGTTGTTAATCTGTTAACAAACTCTATCTTCTAGTTAGTTTTAGCTGATTAGCTATTACTGGCAGCAGCTCTTGTCGTGGCTCTGTTGTTAATCTGTTGTTAATGGCAGCAGCTCTTGTCGTGGCTCTGTTGTTAATCTGTTGTTAATGGCAGCAGCTCTTGTCGTGGCTCTGTTGTTAATCTGTTGTTAATGGCAGCAGCTCTTGTCGTGGCTCTGTTGTTAATCTGTTGTTAATGGCAGCAGCTCTTGTCGTGGCTCTGTTGTTAATCTGTTGTTAATGGCAGCAGCTCTTGTCGTGGCTCTGTTGTAGATGGCTCTGTTGGTGGTATTTGGATTAGAAGGCTGAATAGGCTGAGAGGAACCTGTAGGAGACTCGGACAGAAGAGTAGTAACAGGATTAGAAGGCTGAATAGGCTGAGAGGAACCTGTAGGAGACTCGGACAGAAGAGTAGTAACAGGATTAGAAGGCTGAATAGGCTGAGAGGAACCTGTAGGAGACTCGGACAGAAGAGTAGTAACAGGATTAGAAGGCTGAATAGGCTGAGAGGAACCTGTAGGAGACTCGGACAGAAGAGTAGTAACAGGATTAGAAGGCTGAATAGGCTGAGAGGAACCTGTAGGAGACTCGGACAGAAGAGTAGTAACAGGATTAGAAGGCTGAATAGGCTGAGAGGAACCTGTAGGAGACTCGGACAGAAGAGTAGTAACAGGATTAGAAGGCTGAATAGGCTGAGAGGAACCTGTAGGAGACTCGGACAGAAGAGTAGTAACAGGATTAGAAGGCTGAATAGGCTGAGAGGAACCTGTAGGAGACTCGGACAGAAGAGTAGTAACAGGATTAGAAGGCTGAATAGGCTGAGAGGAACCTGTAGGAGACTCGGACAGAAGAGTAGTAACAGGATTAGAAGGCTGAATAGGCTGAGAGGAACCTGTAGGAGACTCGGACAGAAGAGTAGTAACAGGATTAGAAGGCTGAATAGGCTGAGAGGAACCTGTAGGAGACTCGGACAGAAGAGTAGTAACAGGATTAGAAGGCTGAATAGGCTGAGAGGAACCTGTAGGAGACTCGGACAGAAGAGTAGTAACAGGATTAGAAGGCTGAATAGGCTGAGAGGAACCTGTAGGAGACTCGGACAGAAGAGTAGTAACAGGATTAGAAGGCTGAATAGGCTGAGAGGAACCTGTAGGAGACTCGGACAGAAGAGTAGTAACAGGATTAGAAGGCTGAATAGGCTGAGATGAACCTGTAGGAGATTCGGACAGAGGAGCAGTAACAGCAGTAGCAGGAGTGGGAGTAGTAGGTAGAGATGTAGGACAAGGAAGAGAAGTAGGAGGATCACCAGACCTAAAAGGAGAACTAGAGGACCAAAAGAAGGACTGTAAATTTGAAACAGAAGAAGACTGAGAAGGAGACTGAGCAGTGGTAAAAGGAAAAGTATCCTCATTAAACAAAACATGTCTAGATATATGAATTTTCCCTGTAGCAAGATCAAGACATCTGTATCCTTTAAAAGATGAATGATAACCAAGGAAAACACAAACCGTAGATCTAGGTTGAAGCTTGTTAGAAGTGTAGGGCCGAAGCCAAGGAAAGCATTGACAGCCAAAAACCTTAAAAGAGGAATAAGCAGGAGAAGAATGAAATAGAGTTTCATAAGGAGACTTATTAGAAAGCTTAGAGCTAGGCATCCTATTAATGAGATAGGTAGCTGTGGACACTGCATCAAACCAATACTGTAAAGGTACAGAAGAATGATGTAACAAGGCAATGGTTGTTTCAATGATGTGCCTGTGTTTACGCTCAGAAACTCCATTTTGTGGAGGTGTATAGGGACAAGACATTTGATGAAGTATACCATGAGTTTTTAAAAATTGAGTCATTTGAGTATTAACAAATTCAGTGCCTCCATCAGTTCTTAGAACTTGCAGTTTGGTGGAAAATTGAGTTTCAACAAAAACCTTAAATTCTAAAAATTTGGAAAACACTTCACTCTTGTAACACAAAGGATAAATCCATGTAAACTTGCTAAAATCATCAACAAAAAGCACATAGTATTTATATGGAGACAAAGAAGAAAAAGGACCCCACACATCACTATGAATGAGAGATAATGGTTTGTTTACAGTAGAATTAGAAAGCATAAAAGGAAGTCTATGGCTCTTGGCCACACAACAATGAACACAAGAAGACAAAGGAGCCAAGGTTTTATTAGCAAAATCAGGCAAGTGACTTTGCATATGTACAAATTTCAACTGAGATGGATGGCCCAATCTCTTATGCCAGACCTCAGCAGAAACAGCTCCAGTGGTGGAAGTATGAAAAGCATGAGATGAAGAAGGAGGAGAAGAAGTAGTAGGAAAGTGATATAAACCATGAGCACTAAAGCCCTGGTGCAAGACTGCCTTCGAAGCCTTGTCCTGAATCACAAATGAAGAGTCATCAAAAGTGACAGTACAATTATTGTCTTTGGTAAGTTTATGGACAGAAACAAGATTTGAGGAAATAGGAGCATGTAAAACTTTGGTAAGCTTAAAAGAATAATGAGGAGTAGGAAAAATACCTTTCTCTGTATGTTGGATAGGCAGAGAAGTGCCATTGCCAATTGTAACTTGATCCGTACCTTGATATGGTTGGTACATGCTGAGATTGGAGAGATCGTGTGTGATATGATCAGTAGCACCTGAATCAAGATACCAAGGGGAGGATTCAGGTGATGCAGAGGCAACATATGCCTTTGGGAAAGATGAATTCTGTGAGTGAGGAGAAGAAGAAGACTGAGAATAAGTAGTATCCAATCGATGCCAACAATCAGAGGCAATGTGATTCGCCTTTCCACAAATTTGACAGACGAGTCCAGAATTGAATGATTGTCTGCCTGATCTGCCTCTGCCTCTAGAAAATCTGCTCCCTCGGAATATACCTCTAGAGGAGCCTCGGTAATTAGGACTTGATCTGTCACGAGCATATGATGAAGAAGAACCAGAAGGAGAACCTCTTGTAGCAGAATAAGCAACAGATGAGTCCAGATTCTGACTCTTTCTGTGTTTTGCTTCGATGTGAATAGATTCAGAACAAAGTAGAGATGTCAATTCAGCCATGGAAATTGCATCTACTCGTGCACGAATGGTAGTTTTAAGAGCATCAAATTCATCAGGTAATCCATTTAAAGTAAGCAACACAAGATCTTCTTCATCAACAGGTGATGAAGCTAAAGCTAGTTGATCAGCAAGATCTTTAATTTGACTCAAATAATCTTCAGTGGATTTAGAGTCCTTAGTCAGATTGTTCAATCTATTCTTCATTTGATGAATATGAGATCGAGAGAGCAGAGTAAACCTTTTGCATAATGTGTCCCATACCTCTGCACTGTGTTGCAGATGAAGTACAGATGTGAAAATTGCAGGTGTAAGTGTTGCTATAATACAGCTAAGCAAATGTGCATCAATGAGGTTCCATTGTGCTCGATCTGGATTCAATATCTCTGTACCAGATGAATTCTTGATCAACAATGGAGGACAGGGAATAGATCCTGTTGCAAAATCTAAAAGCTCAGTTGCACGACGAATATTTTGAAACTGACTGCGCCAGATGATGAAGTTTGTAGAATCAAGCTTCACTGTAATGAAAGAGTGCAGATTTGAGATTAAAAGATTCAGATTAGCAGGTAAGGATGAAGATGATGAGGAAGCCATGGATGAATCAACCTCAAGCTCGTGAGAGCTTTAGAGAGGCTCTGATACCATGAAGAATTACTGAAAGTTTTTCTCATTAATATCAATATCTAATTACATGGATACATTTATACAAAAAATGTCTAACAAACTAATAATATCTGTAACTACCTAACTAACTAATGTAACTAACTAACTAATCTAACAAACTCTATCTTCTAGTTAGTTTTAGCTGATTAGCTATTACTGGCAGCAGCTCTTGTCGTGGCTCTGTTGTTAATCTGTTGTTAATGGCAGCAGCTCTTGTCGTGGCTCTGTTGTAGATGGCTCTGTTGGTGGTATATTAGCATTGTTATATGTGCTTTTATGTGAAAACTTGTATAGTTTTTGTAATTTGTTTTTGTACCCATTCACTTCAAATAGGGAGAGGATGGGCTTCTGCGGGAGTAACTCGATACTACAACCGACCAATACGGTATGTAAGCGCCCAAACTCCTCTTGATATACAAATATGCTTATGCATTGTGTATTCTTCAATTGTGGTATTAATCTCTATCATATATGTGTTGTTTTTGTTAATTTCTAGGCATGTTCATTTCCTGTTGTCCATAAATATGCGTATTCCATTTTTCCACCTGTCTAAATTTTTTGGCATACATTGTGTCAGGTTTACATTTTTCATATGAAATAACGATTTTGTGTAGAATTGACTTAGAAATCCATCAATGACTGAAGGATATTCTCAGCAAGGTTACCAAGCACGTCGACCGACTAGCTGGGCTCCTCCTGGTCCCCCAATGCAGCAACAACCTGGTTGTGGTAACATGCAGCCTGGAGCATATCCTAGCTCGACCCCACAGTACAACATGTCTTAGCCACAATACCCTGGTTATGCTTCTCAAGCAGCATCGGGTGGTTATGCTACTGGCTGGGACCAGACAACTGGTGCACCTAATCAGCAGACTGCTCAAGGAGGCATTTACGATTACTATAGCCAACAGACTCAGCAGCAGCAAGCCCCTGCTGGCAGTGCAGCACCTACAGATCACTACTAGAAATATGACTTTTTGCGTCTATTTTTTTGCAACTGATTATTTAACCATTGCAAAAAATCACCTTTTAATTAAAAAAATCACAAAATCATTTAACCCAATCGTGTTCTTAACTTAAAAAAAAATAAAAAAAATCATCTAGACCTATCTCTCCATTTCACTCTTATTTTCCAAATTTGCCTCCGACGGTGGTGTAGCTCATTTCCTGTTGTTGCCTAATCTCTCTCTCTCTCGCTTGAATCTCACCGTCCAAATCTCTCTCGCTCGACTAAATTTGAATCTCGATTGAATCACACTCTCACGTGATGAAGATTTGATCTCGCTTAAATCTCACTCTCACTTGATGAAGATTTCGATCAGACGTGATGAAGATTTGAATCTCGCTTGAATCTCACTCTCACGTGATGAAGATTTCGATCGACTGTTGATGAAGATTTCAATCGATTCATAATCGAGATTCATAATCGGTAAGCTTCTTTCTATGTATAAATCCAACTCTCTGTCTCTCCCGGTAATCTAGCGTGTTTGTTTCATGCCTAGTTGCTGAATTTCTGTGTTGATTTCGATCGTTCTTTAATCTGTGTTGTTGATTTAATTTTTCAATTTCTTCTTTATCTCGTTGTTTTGATTGATTGATCCATGATTTTTCCAATTTTCCTGCTAATATATTTGTACAAGTATATGTAAACCTTTTTTTTTTTTTTTTCATTGAATGTATGGCCATCTATGGCAGCTTGACAGTATAGTTAGCTTACATGTTCAACAAGCCTGTTGATTGTTGTTTGTCCAGTTTGACACAATGAATAGTAATAGTTCCAAACCATAGGTGAAATCAATAATTTACATCTTTTGATGGTACAATAGTTGGTGTAGTCTTAGTGTTGGGGGATTATTTGAAGGATGAACCATGGTTAAAGCTCCTCTACAGCTACCTAAAGTATGAACTATTTTATTTGTAATTTTTATTTTCATGTTGCTACAAATCATGACATGTTTCATTTAAAATATTATAGGTTAAATCAATTTATATGTTTGCATGTTGAATTTTATTGATGAATTCAATAGCTATTCATGACCTGCTGAATAATTTGAATGTGTGAAAGCTTAGGCCTTTTCGAGATTAGGAGTGATTACTATGGAACTAGTGAAGATATGGATGATGAATGGATTGTGTCTGGATTAAGATGAAAGCAGTGTCGGAATGTAGTGACTACAAACTGATTATCCAAATGATGAAGCTGGATAATCACAGGGATAGTGATACTCAAGGAACTTGTACTCTATTTGGCAAGAAAATCTCAGTTTTAAGTTGTTCACGTAAAAATTGATCGTTTTGAAAGTGTTTTGAGTAATTTAATTCTGACTGAACAATTATGATTTGTGATTGTAATGACCTTTGAACTTGTTATCTCTTTGAATTGTTAATGAAATATTGAAGTAAATATTTTTATTTTACTTTATTAAATATAAGGACTAAAATTTCATAGTCAGACATTGTAGATGACATAGTTGTTAAATAATGTACAAAATGTAGAGTCAAGTTTTAGATGTTTACATTTATTAAAGCAGATCAACAACATATTGGAGCTATAATTTTGTGCATGTAGAAGGTGCTAGTGTGAGGAAGGTTAAAAAAGACATTACTAGAATAACTTTTTGTTCCATCATTGTATGATATTACTTTAGGTGCAACGCCCCAAATTTCTAGCCCAAATAGTAATGCAACAATCATGGCTCTTTCAAGGAAAACTAAATATAAATCTCCAAACTTACATTACATGATACAATAGTTCTTCATGCAACAATACATTAATCCAACAACAAGTAAATAAACAAATAAAACCCCCAAGGGTTTATAAGTTTCCAAAGCTTGAGCTTGGTTACACAAAGTGGTTATTCAAACCCACACCTATACAGCCCTTGGCTTACACACAGAGTCACAGCAAAATGAGAGTCTCGTACTCTCAACACACATTTTCTCGCCTTTAGTTAGGCGGCATCACCACATCTTTTCCTGCACAAAAATCCCGTAGGGTGAGCATAAAGCCCAGTAGAAAATCCTTAACAAAGTATATATATTTTATATAAGTCTCAAGAGATGAAATGCACATACCATGCTATGTCCTTTTGAAAGAAAATCACATCTTCATCTTTGAAAACCATCATGCTCAATGATGTCATGCAATTTCAATTCTTCAAAACTTAACAATTCATTTCAAGAGCGGTAATACAACTCTGGTAATCCCTAGGTCAGTGTCTGCAAGTAGACTATACAAGTACTACCAATTTATCATTTTCACCAGCATTGACTGGAAGGCTTGACACCTATAATCTATCATTTTCACCAGTATTAACTAGAAGGCTTGATACCTATAATCTGTCATTTTCTCAATACAAGCTTTGAAATCAACATTCAAAGTTTAATATAATCAAATGAATTGATATGCCAATAACACAAGATGAATATAAATACTTTTATTCCAATTCATCATCCAAGGAATAACACAATTCCCTTTTCTTAAGTTTCCTCAATAATTAGTCATTTCAAGACTATTTCAACATTTTGAACAATAATTTCCAAAATGAACAACAATTCTCATATTTCCTGAAATTCATCATTTATATAAATATAAATAAGAAAATTTTCAAACATCCATTTATTTTGACACACAAAATAAATATAACAATATCATTCATGAATTTTCACTCTCTAAAAAAAAAATTCCCAAATTCTAGGTTTTCTCACCAAAACTATACAACTCAAATCTTTTGAAAGAAAACTTTCCAAAATTATCTTTTCTTCAATCAATGAAGATCAAAACCAATAAGATCATTTCAAAAGAACAAGAGACAAACCCACTTTCAAAATTGTTCAATTTCTTAAATTAACAATCAATTTTCAAAGCTATCGAAGGATGATTTTGAAAATCATCTAGATCTTGCAAAAATATATATATAACTCTAAGAAAATCCCTACCTCAAGTTTTGAAGAAGAAATGAGATGAAACCCCCAAAATCAACTGTGTCCAAACTCGATCTTCATTGCACACAACGAAGCCCTCGAGGAGTTAACTAACTTTGATGAAGAACTTAGGTTCAAATCCCAAAGGATTTGAAGAAATCAAAAATCTTGTGAGGTTTTTGGTGGGAAATGTAGAGAGAAGGGAGAGGAAATGTTTTTAAAGAGAGAGATATATACAAAAGTGATTAAACTGCAGCCCAAAGAGAGAAGAAAAGGGAAAAAATTTCGGATCTCTCCAACCCACCGCACCTCACTCCCGCACCTGCCTTTTTAGCAGTGTGCAAGTTGTGCTCTCTCCTAAAATCTGCATGTGCGGCTTGCTCTCCCGCTCGAGCGGGCAAATAACTTCGAATGCATTTTGCATTTTTGTTTTAGGGGAGTTGCCCCTCAACCCCGCCAGGGTGCTGCCCTAGGACCCGCCAAGGGGCGCTGCCCCTTGGACCCCCGCGAGCAGACTGAGCAGCTCGACCCCCACCAAGGGACATTGCCCCCTGGACCCTCGTGAGCTGATCGGACAGCTCGACCCTCGACATACTCAGCGATGTAGCAAAACTGGGATCGCTATATTAGGTGTTGTCAAGGCTACCATTATTGGAATGATTCTTTAGGAAAACTTGTGTTGACTGTTGCTATTCTTTGGGCTTCACTACTAGAAAAGGAAAAAAAAATCTAATTAGGCTGAGTTAGATTCCTCAGTTTTTGAAAATATTCACGGACCAGTTTAATTCCTTAGTTTTTTAACTATATTTAAATTTACAACAACATCCACAACCACAATCCAGACTACTATGAACTTGCATTACTCTTTCTCTCTCACAGAGATTAGGAAGCTTATGTAAACTTAGCACACCATCCACAATACAATGAACTTGCATCTCTCTCTCTCTCTCTCTCTCTCTCTCTCTCAGAGATTAGGAACGTGTATTGAATCTAGACAAAACATAACCTTGAATTGCAATTCAGAAGAGAAAAAAAAATCCAATCGAAAATGGCTCTGTTGTTCTGTCGAGACAAAAAACAAAAAAACTACTGCAAAATTCATGTGTCCCATACATCCCGTACCTATACCCAATTTATGTCTTGTTAACATAGGTTCATATTGGGGAATATAAACGTCCATATAACGAGTTTAAAGTGTTTGATTCCTGATTTTTAGAAAATTCTATCACTTGTAGTGTGTAAAAAATTTCAATCTTTATTTGTCTTTATTGGTGAAAAATTCTATCACTAAACATTATTTCGTAGTGATAGAATTTTTACACACTACAAGTGATAGAATTTTTTACAAGGTCTATCAATTCGATAGTATTTTTTAAAATTCTCTCATCAAGGTCTATCAAATAAGATCCATATTGATTATGAAATTCTTTATAAAAAAAAATATTACCGTCGAAATTGATTTAAATAGTAACAGTAACATGTTACTCTGCTCCCAGTTACTCTCACAGTAACATGTTACTTTATTTCACAATAATATGATACTCTGGCAATATTGTCGAAGAAAAAAAAGATATTTTATTTTGTCCTTACTCAATTATGTGTTTTCTTCTTAGGGAGTTTATGAAGCAAAATAAATTGGACTGTCTTTTTCACTTAATAATGGTCTAATAGAGGAGTTTTGGCTAAATTTTCTTAAAATTTATACTGAATGATACAACCATGATGAGTATTTTGCTTTTCACCAAACAAGGGTCCAATTAAAGGATTTTGGCTAAATTTTCCCAATATACTCAATACAAATACAAATACAAAAAAAATATATTCTATGACCTCTTCGAAAAATTAAAATTATAAAAAAATAATTTACAAACAGAATTTTAATACATAAAATTTATGCTGAATGATACAACATAATGAGTATTTTGCTTTGAAATAAAAGAGTTACACAGGACCACATTATTTTGTCTATATATATTTTTTTGATATGAAAGTTATGTTTACAATTACTCAAAACAATAATTGTCTTGCTCAATTAATTCAATGCATGTGGAATAAATTAGAAAAGTATGAGCATGCCTAGTTTGAACATTGTAGGCCATGAAAGTCCAAAGGAATCTGTAAATCTATGAACACAACCATAAATCAATTGTTGTCAGGAAGATAGAGAGGCAGAGGCAGAGAGAGGATGGAGCTTGAACACTTCAGCCATGACCATCCCCTAATCCTCAAAATAGAGCACATGTATGATGTGTTGGAACAATCTTCCGTGTAAATAAAATAATATGAAACAATTCAAACAAAATAAAATAAAACTTACAGTATTTATTTTGTAGAACCGAATAAATAATTCAAAGACCAAGTCTAGTGTGTGACACTCTGTCCGTAAGACAGATTTGCCCCGCTACGGTGCTTACGGTTGAGTGGCGTCTATCTCCCAGGATACAATGATCTTAACCAATTTGTAGTAGCACTCCAAAACAAATTGTTCGGCGAACCAAACCTGTGATCTAACTCTCTGAATATTTATTCCTAAATCTAAAATGAAGAATAATGCACTAAAAGAAATCTGGACAGCAAAAGCAAGAATTGCAGACTGAAATTCAGGTGTTCAAACACTGCTAGAATGAATTGTATTTATAGGCAAACAAATGACCTGAACAGGTACAAAACATGTAGTGAATAGGTGCAAAACTGTTTCAAACAGTTTCTGCCCGTATCACATGAAACAGTTTTCTTTTTCCCTTCCAAACAATTTTGAAAACATAGCCGTTGGTGAACAAAATTTAAAACTGTTTGGAATATTTCTTATTAAACTATTAGAATAGTTTAATCAAATAAAGCCAATTCAATTGAAAAGATTTATTAAAAACTGTTTAGAATATAACTATTAATCTATTTGACAAACTTTAAGAAACCACTCAGGAACCCAAAAATTTGAATTTAGATTTAAATTAAATTCCCACAATAATTTTTTTTTATTGAAAAAATTCAAATAAATTTTGTCTAAAATAAAATTAATGTTAGACCCGAAAACGACGTCAACTTCTTATTCACTCATAAATGGTTTTGACATTCTGTCTTCATCGTATAACTTGCCACGCGGCACCTCTTCGGACCCGCCCCAAAATACGTTCGGGGCCCACTCAATTTTGGGCTCAAAGTTGGCCCAAAATATGCCTATATCAACCATTTTCCCAACATGATGATGATGGTGTTGTGAAAATTTCTTGCGTGTGAGCAACTAATAATCTCCGGTCAATCCTACTACAGTTGCAATCATTGTTGGTTTTTCTTGCACAAATCATGTACATAACTACCCAAGAAAATTACACATCCTTCTCATCTTGAACACCCCCTTACTCTCTTTTCAAACCCAGCTTATAATTACTCAAGAAGCATTTGTGATGTCTGTAGAGAAACCTGCAACAGATTCATTTACCATTGTTCCCCATGCGACTTCGATGTTGACTTGAAGTGTGCTTCGATGGCATATAGTTTTCAACAGAGGATTGAGCACAAAAGTCATACACAGCATCAGTTGATCTCTCTTCAAAAGCCAGCCATGATCTTTTGTGATGCTTGCGGTACAAAACATGAAGGCACCTCCTATCTATGTACCACCTGTGGGTTCTGGGTCAACCAGAATTGTGTTGACTCATTGCCCAGCACCATTAAACTCAATAATAACACTCGCCCTTATCTATTCTATTCCATTTGAAACTTGGCCGATCTGCGCTATCTGTAACAAGTGAGTGTACAGAAGAAATTGGGTTTATTATTGTTCCGACTCTGAATGTTTCGACTCTGAATCCAAATATTTTGTCCATGTAAATTGTGCAACATCAGAGACTGAACGTTACATGTTGACCCTTTTTTTCTTGCAACTCATTTTCTTTCATAATCCTCTTAAATGGTTCTTTTTTTAAAAAAAAAAAGAAAAAAATTTAATTATGTTTCATCCTTGATTATGTGGTTTTAGAGAATGCAAACCAGAGTTTAATCTTGTTGATTCGGGGATAACGACATCAAATAACAAACTATCCAGGTTGACCTTCTTTTTCCCTTGGAACTCTTCTTTTAATTGTCTCATCAGTTCTTTCCTTATTATTTGATTACATTCAATTATTTTGGGTAAATTACACTCACCTCGCATGAGGTTTCTAATAATTACAGGGGCCTCTCATATAGTTTCAATAATTACAGAAACCATTCTTATTTTTGAAACCATTATTAAGATTCCCCACCGTTAATCTTCTGTTAATTTATTTAACAGAATATGATGATGTCATGCTGATGTCATGTATTATGAGTAAATAATTTTAAGATTTCCCTTATATATTCAAATAGTAAATTTCACTCACCTCCCTGATGTTTTACAAAAAATTAATAAAGACCCATACATCATTTTAATAATGTTATATTAAAAAAAATTCTAAATAATAAATTTAGGATGGAGCTTGTACGTCAGTAGTTTTCTATACAAGTTAATAAATTTTGAACGATTCTCATGAGATGAGCATCGGATGATCTAAGCCATATGATTGATGGGTTATGTTGATATGTTTCACTGACCCAAAATCCATGCAATGTTTTTGAAAATAATAGAGTTAATTACACTTATGTCCCCTAAGATTAAAAGAAAATAGCTCACTTGTTTGGTTATTATAGTGAACTGACGGTGCAGGTTCAAATATCGAAATTTGTTGTGGTCCTTATATTTTTAGATAATGCTATATCATATAGCTAATAGGATTAGTGGACTCAGCAATAGGTTTGAACAATGTTTCAGAATGAAAATGAAATCTATTTATTGTCTCTATTTTGCTCATAACCAAAATGGGCCAGTACTCCTAACAGGGCTACTTGTGCACCCTAGAAATTTTGGAAGTACTCCCAAATAGAGCAGAAAATGGGGCAGTATACTCTACACCACAGACTAGTAGCCATACACCCATTGGAAATTGTGGAAGAAAGCTATCCTTGATATCCTCGTAGTAGGGAAATCTGGTGACTATAGTGAAAAAAATTACCTCTTTGACCACTCTAGATTGGTTTCTCAAAGTGCTCAAAATCAGAAGCTTCCTTTTTTTCTCAGACATTAGAAGGGCTTTCGAATTTTCTGTTATTAATATTACAACTTATTGGATGGATGGCTTGGTCCTCTTTTTGTTCATTTTGGTAATAATGCTTTCCCTTTTGGCTTCTCTGCAGTTTCCTCTCTTACTTCCGGGCTAGAAAGAATTTGTCTACGAAGGTCACACACCTTTGTCATCTTCTTCAGGCTCCATTGAGGGTTCTTTCACATTTGTCTCTGGAAGGTATGTAGACAATTCACTATTTGTATAAATTTCTATTTTTTTTTAAAACCAGCGAACTCTGAAGCACTCAATGATGATATTTGCTATCCTATTTCTTATCTAGATGAGTTTACGTAGATTATCTGGCATTTCCTCTGTTCTTTACTCTAAACTCGTGAAATTTTTTACACAATACAAGTGATATGAAGAAGAGCAGATATTATCATCCAGAACACAATAAGCTGTTAGGAGCTAATTTTATTGGGTTTTTACTTTCTTGCCTAATTTCAAAGTGTACTATTTTATTGTCATGTTCATGAGATTCTGAGTATCCTATATTGCATTTCTCAACTTTTTTTTTTTGCTTCTATATTTATTGGCCAGCGTACACTTGTTAATCAGAGTATATTTGTATAAGTAC